AAGGGGCTCATCCCTGTGGACACATTCTCGGCATTGTTGTAGGCAAATTCCGCCAGCGCCAACTTTTCTACCCAGTCATTCTCTCTGTCATTGACATAACACCTCAGGTATTGCTGGAGGACACCGTTTGCTCTTTCCGCCTGCCCGTTGGTTTCAGGGTGCCGGGCAGTCGAAAAATTGACCTCCACCTGCAGTAAGCTCATGAGCTTCCTCCAGAACCTGGAAGTAAATTGTTTTCCTCGGTCTGAGACCACCCTCAATGGCACCCCGTGCAACCTAAAAATGTGTTCTACAAATAACTTCGCTGTCTCTTCCGCCGTGACTGCATGCGAGCAAGCTACAAAGTGGCACATCTTTGTTAGTAGGTCCACCACCACCATGATGGCTGTTTTCCCTTTGGACTTCGGCAGATCAGTCATAAAATCTATCGACACTGCCTCCCAAGGTCGTTCTGGGGTTGGTAAGGGTTCTAATAGCCCCGCCGGCGCCCGCCTTTCCCCTTTGGCTCGCTGGCATTGCTCGCACCCTCTTACATACTCACGTACATCTTCCCTCACCTTGGGCCACCAAAATTCCCTGGTGACCAACCACATGGTTTTGTGTTGTCCAAAATGCCCCGCCGTAGGGCTGTCGTGCAACTGCTTGAGTACCCTCCCCTTAAGTCTCCTTCAGGGATATACAGTGCCCCTTTGTAATACAAAGCTCCATTTCTTTCCTCGAAACCCCTGGTTCCTCTCCCTCACCCCTAAGACCTCTGAGCTTATTCTGGGCGTATTCATCATTCTCTGTTTCCTCTACCAGTTCTCTTTGTCCCACCAATGCCGCCCCCCACACACCCAGCGGTCCTCTGGAATGACATGTCTCTCTTCGGGTGCTCCTCCCCTCCAAATATTCAGGTTTGCGTGAGAGAGCGTCCGCCCTAATGTTCTCTGGGCCTGGCACGTAACAAATCTCAAAGTTAAATTTGGAGAACTCCTGGGCCCATCTCACTTGCCGTTGGTTGAGCACTCGTGCCGTCCTCCAATACTCTAGGTTCTTGTGGTCAGTGCACACTTGCACCTTATGTTGTGCGCCAATTAGCAGGTGCCTCCATCTCCGGAACGCCTCATGAATGGCTAGTAGTTCTCGGTCATACACCGTGTAGTTCCTCTCGGATTTGTTCAGCTTTCGCGAAAAAAGGCACACGGTCTCCACTCTGACTCCTCCTTCCCTGGCTGCAGAAGCACCGCCCCAATCGCTCTGTCTGATGCGTCAGTTTCCACTCTCATCGGTTTTTGTAAATCCACATGCAGGAGTTGTTGTTCCGAGGCGAAGGCCCTTTTAGTTCCTCAAATGCTCGCTCCGCCTCCTCAGTCCAAACGAACTTCTTCTTACTGCTGAGACAGTCCGTAATGGGCGCCGTCAGGTGGGCAAAGTTTCGGATGAACTTACGATAGAAGTTCCCAAATCCTAGGAACCTCTGCACATCCTTCCTTGTTTTGGGTGTTTTCCATTCCAGCACCGCCTGGACCTTGCCGGGATCCATGGCCAATCCCTTGTCTGACAGGCGATACCCCAGGAATTCCACCTCCTTGGTATGAAACTGACACTTCTCCAGTTTCACCCACAGCTGGTTGGCTTGCAGCCTGCTCAACACTTCTCTGACGTCTCTCACATGCTGCTCCTCATTCTCAGAATACACCAACACGTCGTCTAAGAAGGCCACACAATTCTTGTAAAGCAAAGGCCCCAGGACGTGGTTCATAAACGATTGAAAGCATGCGGAGCCTGCTTGGAGGCCGAAGGGCATAACCAAATATTCAAATGCCCCTAAAGGGGTGAACATGGTGGTTTTCCATTCATCACCCTTCCTTATTCGTATCAGGTTGTACGCCCCCCTTAGGTCCAGCTTTGTGAAAATCTTTCCCTTCCGCACCCTTGTCAAAATGTCGTCAATCCTGGGCATAGGGAAGGCCACTGGTTCTGACACTGCATTTAAGGCCCTGAAGTCACACACCAGCCTCGGCTTGTTCGTGTTTTTTTATCCACAAAAACACTGGGCTGCCCCCACCGCCCTGGACTCTCTGATGAACCCTCTCTTCAGGTTCTTGTCAATGAACTCTCTTAGCTCCTGCATCTCTCTGTCTGACATGGCGTACAGCTTGCCTACAGGGAGCTGTGCCCCAGGGAGTAAATTGATTTGACAGTCAAAGGGTCTATGCGGGGTAGTTGGTCAGCTTCCTTTCGCTGAAGACGTCACGGAGATCTGCGTATTGTCGTGGTACCTTCACGTTCTCCGTTACTTCAGTCCCTGCTAGGGTGGCTTGGGCCCCTGCCAAACCCTTTCCCTCTTTGCAGTGTTCTAAGCAATGTGCTGAACCAAAAGAAACCACTCTCTGATGCCAGCCCACCAGCGGATCATGTAACGCTAGCCAGCTCATCCCCAATATAATGGGAGCTCCTCCCAAGGTGGCCACATTAAACGCTATCAGTTCGGTGTGCCTTGCTACCTTCATTATCATTGGGACGGTCTGCAAGCTGACTTCTCCTCCCAACAGCTCCCTGCCATCGATCGTGGTCACCTGCAGGGGGTTGCTTAAAGGGATCGCCTGTATCTGGTGTTCAGCTGCAAACTCTTTGCTCATGAAATTGCAGGAGCTGCCTGAGTCCAACAGCGCCTTTATCTTTAGAGGGTGTCCGTTTGGCAGCTCTAGCGCCACTTCTATCACTAGGGCGGGTTTAGGAGGTTCTGGCGTGGGCACTCACTGCTCTTTGGCCTGGCTGCTGTGCCCCGACAGTGGCAGCCAGGCGTTGGCTTTTACTTGCTCCGGTATTTCTTCCTCTCTTCCCTCCACAGCTCCTACCATCCCTTGCCATTCCTTCCTCTGGGGGCAGACTCTGGCAAAGTGACCTGGCTGTTGGCAGAGATAGCATTTCCGGGCGCCTTTTCCCTCCTTCTTTCCCCTCACTGGGCTTTGAAACCGCGCGCTCTCGCGCTGTTCCGTTGTCCATCGGATCTGCCGGAGGGAAAGTTGGAATTGGAATGTCTGGTATGCTGAACTCCTTCCAACGTTCCCCTTCCCTTCCCGCCTCTCCAATGCTCTCGCTCCTGGCGCGCTCCTATGGTCAGCGCTGATTTGGTCAGCTGGTCCATAGACTCCGCCCTGGGCGCCCGGGAAAGTTCGTCTTTCACAGCCGAAGAAAGCCCTTCTTCAAAGAGCATTTGAATGGGTTCCGCCGATAAGTCCCACCCCAATCTGTGAACCAGCATGGTGAACTCAGTCCAGTACTCACGGACAGATCGGCTCCCTGTTTGCAAGCCATTAACTGTCTGCGCACCACTCCCTGTTCAATATCGCTGGAAAACATCAGATCCATGGCGCGAAAGAACTTCATCGTGTCCTTTAGGACGTCACTATTCGCTGCCATCAGGGGTCTAACCCAGTCTCTCGCCCCTTTTCAAGATGCTCAATCACGAAAGCCACTCGTGATTCCTCGTCAGGGAATTCATCAAACTGCAGATTGAGGGCATATTGCATCTCTGTCCGAAAGCCATGATAGTCTTTGGGCTCCCCCCCAAACTTCTGCACCAATCCTGGTACCTTTCTGGCGAGCTGGGTGGCTTTCCCTTTTGTCTGCATCCTGAGCCCTCCTCTCCTCAAGCCTCGCCGTCTGCAGCGCTAGCTGGACCTCCAACACCCGGTACCTTTCTTCCAGGCTTGGACCCGCTCCAGCTCCTGCTTCTCCGGTTCCGGCTGGGTTGCTCATGATGCCTTCTCCTGCACAAGCTGCTTTCAAAGACTGTCGGAATGCTGTGATGGGATGATGAGCTGCTTGTGCGTAAAATCGTATCCCCTCAGAGTTTGTTCAAGTCCACAAACCTCTGTCTGTGACGGAGCCCCTCAGACATGGCTCCTCTAGTCACTAGCAGATTCCGACAGTGGTTGCTTTCGGAATCGCTTCCAACATAAAAGCTCCTTAACGGAAACACGTCTTCTGGACTCTCTGCGTGTCAGTTTCCGGCGAGGAGTGGGTGTCCCTACAGGAGGTCCTGAAACCTCCCCACTGTTTTCGCTGGAAGTGTCTCTGAGCCATCCCTCCAGCTCACTTTCCCTCAGCTCAGCTCCTCTCCCCCTACTGGTTCCCTCTTCAGCTGCTGAGTCTCTCCCAACCTGTGTGAGCCCTTTCACCTCCCTTCCTTCCGATGGCAGTTCCCTGACAGTCAAATACCAAACACTTCCATGTGACCGAATTTTCTGAAGGTGCAGAATTGTGCCTATACAGTATTTTCAAAATACCCTAAATAAGCAGTGACTCTTGGCTTTGTGGACAGTCGCTCTATCAAAATCGGTTGTGATGTATGCAGAAAGAATAATCAGGGCACAATCCAAGCCCCAAAACTATCACACTGGGTGGGTGGGGAGAATGGGGTAAATCTACCTCTTTCCAGCCCACAGCAGCTCTGCAGGTGTGAAGCACCCCATCCTGTCCAAAGGTTCAGGTAGGTGGAGGTAACGCTGTCAGCAGCCTGCAGAAAGTCCTGATCCAGCTCCGTTGCTGCCCCTTGACAGAATTGGGCCCAATATGAGTCTGATTGCTACGCCAGGTTCAGGTTTCTTCCTGTTTCCCTGCCTTCTGCCCTGGTTGGCATGAACAATTGGGGGGACGGGACGTGTTGGTGGCTCCTGTCAGGTCATACTGCTGCCCAGCCTGACTCTTGATTGCTCTACATACCTTTATTGCTTTACCTAAAATTAATCACTCTGCAAATTGTGCAATTACTCCCTTTTGGTCCTGAAAGAGATTTCGTTCAATGGAAACAACATACATTCTCTGCTATAGCTGTAGGAGTCTTGAAGGAAACGAATTTTCTTAGCGACAACAAAATGTCAGGAAAAGGCTACTACAATTCCTATGTGCCACAGCAAATTTTCACTGTCTCACAGCTAATGCTATCATTCTTAAACCCCTTGCTCCAAGAAGTCTGAATAATACGAATAACACATGAGACTACTGCATAATCAATTATTTTGCATGGAGTTTTATCTTTAAAGAAAAGGTCAAAGACATCATTCAGCAATTTGTCAGGACCAATCTGCATTCTGACTGCATCCACCTTTGTAAAGTCCTGGCTGTCATTCCAAGGGAAGAAGTTGCACCACAGTTTTCACGAGTTCATATGAAACATCTTAACTGTTCCTTGGTTGACTTTCAGGCACTCTTTTTCTGAGCCTTCTCTTGTGCCATATTCTCTTTGGCTTCACACCTAGAGTTGAAGGCATTTAGCATTTCTCTAATGGTTAAGTTGGCTCCTTTCATGATCAGTCTGTCACCGTCGGCTGCAAAAGAATTAACATAGTTTAGAACAGAAGGAAAACAAAACGCAATTGCCCAAGTTCTACATGACAACATCAGATGAATATTCTTGGTTAAATGTTCCAGATTTTTAGAAAGCAACATTACAGGTGTATTGAAACGCTGCAAGTACTGCAAAAGAATACTGTGTGTGTACATATATATGGCTGCAGATCATTCTTTGTACCATGTCCTTCAAAACGGAGTAGTGAGAGAACTTGGCTGGCACCACAGAACTCCCAAGTTTACACCTAAAGAACCTTGACAGGACTCAAAGCAGCAAACATTGGCGCTCTCCTGCTTTTTGACATTTGCTCACCAGAAGTGCACAGACTCTCCCGAGTGATTTATCTGGGGTGGAGATGCTATAGGAATGTGGATCCCTTCTATATGGTCTATATGGAAATCACCTTGCAGTTCTCTGGATCTTCCCTGGGTCTGCATCAAGTGTTTGACATAAAAACAGTCTAAATTTGCAAGTAAGATCATGGACATATGAAAAACTGGTGCACAGGTTTTAAGGGCTACAAACTTTGTGAATAGAGAACAGAGTTAGAACTAAAGGGGGGCGGGAGGTAGAGCTTATTCATTAATTATGTTCCTGCCCCCCCCCCCATATTTTAGGTGCCTCCTTTCACACTGTAAATCTTAGTATTGTTTTATTGATTTTTTGCAGTATATACTTGTCATGGCCTTTGGCTGGAACAATAAAATATACTTATTGAAAATATAATGTGAGGCAGTTAATGACAGAAATCGACTGCCCCAATATTCCATTATCTGAAAGCTATTTTCACTGTTTCTGATAATGGAAGTCTCTGAGATAATGGAAGTTACAGATGGCCAGCTACAGTGACCACACAGCTCATGAAGTAAGGGTCTTGGAAAGGGTTGGAGAGCAAACATAATTTTCTAAGAGTAAGCCCCACTGAACTAAACGGACTTTCGAATAGACACGCATTGTATGTAAGGGCAGAACTGCACATTTCAAAGAATAATAATGTGCAAACTACAACCCTGTGTCAAATCCTCCTTCTCCCTCACTAACCTTGCATGCCTATCTGTCAGTGACGTGGTTTTGTATGGTGTGTAGTTGCACATTAACCTTCCCATTAGAGCAGCTTAATTTGTAATAGAACTCTGGTCAGGTTTGAATGCGATGGCAAACCAGGCTTTTATCACATCATCACCATACATTTGGCGCCTACAGCTTCCCCCAAAGATGCCTGAGAACTGCAGGTTGTTAAGGGTGCTGAGAATTGATCTATGAGAGGAGTAAGCTACAGTTCCCACGATTATTGGAAGGAAGCCATGTGCTTTAACTGTATGGTGTGGATGCGCTAGCTTACTGTGGTTCATCATGAATGAGCAGCATCCAGTGAGGCTACTGGTTTTTTTTTCAAAAGCTACCATGAGCCATCTAGTGGAGTCAAAGCACACTGCCATTGGAAGTATACTTTTCTCAGTTCTTTTTATCTTCCTGGCTTAACTGACAATGCAGAGATACGGCAGATAGTAGTTCCAAACTTTGTTACAACCTTCCTGCCAGAAGCAACCTGCAGAAATGAGTTCTTGCCATCTAGCACTGCTTAAGGAGCGGGGTGGGAATTTGCGGAAACCAAGGGAAAGAAAGTAATACTTTGATCACCAAGCCAATGTATTTACACATCAGAGGTACTTCCTAGAAGAGCAATAAAGATGGTTAAAATAAAATAAAGAGGTTTTCAAGTAAAGGCATTTGAGGCAAGAGGCATAAATGGTCCAAAACACTGGGTAAAATGTTAATGGAGCTCTTCCTCCATTAAGATCCCACAAGTAAAATAAGTTTGGACCCTTTTTCTCTGAATTTGAAAGCCATAGAAGACCCCCAACTTCTTTAGGACAGGGATGGCTCGCCTCTGTAGTTTTAGGATCTGAGAGTGGTCAGTTCCATAATAATGTTTGCAGAATTATGCCAAAACCTTGCTAAACGCTCCGCAGAGTCACTTATCTGAACATCCGACTTCCTTGGTTTTTTTCCTGCTTGGTCAGCTGTAGCCACTTTTGGGCAGGGGAGTGAAAGCAGACAAGTCAGAGTACAGGAAAAATCTGACAAATCAGACAGTGAGAGAGATCGGGCAAATCCATTTTTTTCCTTTGCCTCTCTTTTGCTGATTGGCTACAGCCATTTCAGGAAGAAAGTATGGAGAGTGTGGGGAAAGGGAGCAGACAAATCCTGCATTAGGCAAGTTTCCATGGGAAACAATGGAAACCATGGACTCGGTTATGCAAACACTTGCCTGGCGAACAATTTCCAGGGAAGGCATTGGGTTTGTAAAGGGGGACCTGCTTGTATATCCAAAAAGGAGATGCCACATTAATAGTGGAAACTTTTTACAGCTTGACAGCTTTTTGAATAGGGAGGCTTCAAGGGAGCAGAAAATTATTTAGAGGGGGTTCATCTGGCCCAAAGGCTACCAGCTGACGATGTCGGCTTTGGTTTACAAAACAGGAATGCTTCCTTACCAAATACGACGTCAATTACTGGTTCAGACCCATCGTGTTTTACATCTGTATTCACTTCACAGTTGCTGTTGGATAAAAAGGCTTTCTTTGTATACAGACACTGTAGGAAATTTCTGAAAAGGTTCAGAAATATAGATCAGAACATATTTTATCAATAACATAGCAGTTAGTAGTATAAAATACAATAAACAATTTTTTTAGTCTAAAGATTTTATCTCAACGATCCACAAAACACCTCATAGGAAGAATAAGAGTGGAACAATGTAATAATATCAGCTGCCAAAATCCAAAATATACATAGAGCAAAGCTCTGAAACATAAGACAGACAATACAATCTTACAAGTTACAAAATCAAATAAAAAATCCTTGCAGTTTAGTAGCTTGCCATACCAATTGCTCAAAGCACTCCGGTGTTGAATTATTTACATTTTATTTATTGAATTTATATCCTGCCCTCCTTTTTGAAAGAGCTCAGGGTGAAGGAGGCAAATATCTAACTCAGTCATTTTGGATTAAGGCAGAGTGTGATTATTAGTACTAGACGTGACTTAATCAGGATGCAAGCCATGTAAGGAAACATATCTGTATAGCATATCAAGCATGCACCTTGTTAAAAATGCATGTTCAGAGTCAACATACCAGGCATTAAGAGCCTGGACTGGGGCATGGAGTGGGGGGGTGGGATGCTAGCATGCCAACACTGCAGAAGCGGCAGCTTAAACAAGGTGTACAAAAGTTTACCTTCTATGCCCAACATCATACTTCCTAGGTCTAACAATAATTTAGGAGTGGCATGGCAGGGTTTTGTTTTGTTTGTTTTTTGTATAAACTATGCATGATCTCAGGTAGAAATTCAACAGAACAGTTCTCTTTCTCTCCTCCCTGCATTGCTTACTAGAAAAGGCCCTATCCCACACCAGATGAATTACTGCCTGCCATGCAGCAGGGAAAAGGCACAGCAGCAAAACAGTCAGAAATAAATGAGTCCTGCTAATCGTTTATTTAAAAAATCAAGCTGGGGCCCATTCTCAGCACGTAAAGATATACAAAAGTACTTTGCACCCCCAGTACTAAGGAACCGCAGCCCAGCATTGGGAGCCAGATTCTACAATCAGAATGGGCAAAACGTGCCTATGATGCCACGTGTATTTCGTGCAGGTTGTGTGCATGGCTTGCCCATCAGTGCCCTGGGATGAATGGGTCCGGGGGTGGGGAGTCCTGTTTCGGATCCAGTGGATCCCAACCCCGTGGCCTCTCCTCACCTGGTGCTCTCCACGTTGGACTCGAAGGGGCAGAAGGCGACCAAGACGCTCTTCACCTGCTTGAGCGTCACCCCCGCCCTTTTCGGCACCACGAACGACATTTTCCTCCCTCCCTCCGGTAGGATCGGTAAGAGCGAGCGCCTTGCCCGCTGAGCGACCGGAAGGACTACAGTTCCCAGAAACCCTCTCGCCGCATTCAGCACGAGGGCTCCTCCCCGCGCGCGCGGCCTGCCGGGAAATGTAGTCAAGCAGCTCTTGGCTTTATAGTTTGTGCCATTCCGTGGGAATTCTGTTGAACTTCGCTCTTTGTTGCGCCGGGATAGCCCAGAATTGGCATTTCGGTTATTTGAGAATAACTTTAAAGAGCGGGGTCAAGGGAGCATCATGACATAAAGAAAGCCTTGCTGGGTCAGGAGAGGTTTTTATGCCTGGTTTGCACGCTGTGATCCTTACTTCTTGGAATTCTCTCACCTGTAGTCAGCAGGTGAGCGAAGACCACACACTGCAGAGTTTCTCCCCTGTGAAGCTAAGAAAATAAAAACGTACTGGCCCATCTAGCCCGGCATTTTGCTCTCGCAGTGGCCAACCCCATGCTTGAGATCTCCGAATGAAGGGTGGGATACAAAATTAATAAATAAAACAAAACAATATTAATACCAGTTTCTGGAAGCCATGGGAGGGGTGAGTGCTCTTGTGCTCGAATCCTGCTTTGGAGTTTCCCACAGGTATCTGGTTGGCCACTGTGAGAGCAGGATGCCCTCCAGTATTGATAAGTTTCAGCTATTCTAGCCAACTTGTACATCAAATGGGAGTGGTGGTGGGGCGTCTTTTTCTTCGCCTCAATCAGCCGAATCAGCTCTTCCCCTGGGAAGAGGGGGGGATGAAGAACTTTTCTTTTAAAAACAAAACCCACAGACACGAATACGTTGTCATTTCCAGAGGGGTAGATTTGTTTGTCCATTGCAGCAAAAACCAACAAAGAATTGTTGAAATCTGACAATTTTATCAATATATAAACTTTTGTGGACTGGCATGGAGGGTGACATTCTTCAGGGCAAATCTATCTACTTATCAGGTTTCTTGTATACGTAATGGTAGTGTTATTGAGGCTTGTGTGCATTCCAAAACAGGTTTACTCAAACATAAATCCACTGAGTTCCATGAGACTTAATCCCCAGGAGTCACATTGAGGATTATAATAGAGAACAAATTTAAATGGCTGAACTGGGATTTGTAAAGTGTTTATTGTTATCATAGCATCAGAAGTGTACATAGCCATAGTCATAAATGCCTAGAAAACATAATTGGTTTTTAAGGATTTGAGAAATAGCTAATATGCAAAAAAAGTCAGTACATTTCTATGGAAAAAGGAGGGTAGACAGGCTTTGATGAATGAAAACATGGATACTTGAGTGGGTTTTTTAAAAATAAAAATATGTATGCTACCATTTTGCCAGAAAGCTTTTTGTAAAAAATAAAATAAAAATCAGGGCACTTCTAAATGTATGTAAGCAGTCACTTGAGGTAGCAGCACATTGCAAATGATGGAGGCCAGGACTCCATCCAAAGTCCCAGAGTAAACCAGTCTGAGCAGCTCTTGGACTGTGTGAGGAACTGTGCAAATTGGGCAACTGTTGGATTGTGAGTTGTGCTCCATTATCCTATATTATAGCAGTCTTCAACTTCTTAAGACCTGGGACCCACCTTTAACCCATATGTGCAATTGTGGACTCATTTCATTTTCTACAATATATGTTGTATGGTGGCGGTGTGGCTTGTTTCAACCTGCCTTAGACAAGGCCACGGCCCAATAGGGAGTCCTGACCCACCAGTGGAAGACCAATGGTTTATTTCACTGCAAAGGATCCTGGGGTCAGCTTTGGAATCATGTACCACAGCTGCTTGTACCACCAAAAAAAACAACCCCCCTGCACTCTGAACTTACTAAGCAATGGCTCCAGTTGAAATAGATGAGCATCTATTGAACACATGTAACCCTTCTGCCACAAGATGGCAGAAGACCCACTCTACATGTATTTGCTAAATGGTGAAGGCTCTTATGATGCGTAGCTTTATTGTGACATAAGCTTCCTTGGACTATATCATAGAAAAATAGAGTTGGAAGGGACCCTGAGGATCATCTAGTCCAACGCCCTGAAATTCAGGAATATGCGGCTGTCCCTTATGGGGATTGAACTTGCAGCCTTGGTGTTAGGAGCCCACTTCATCAGGTGTATGAAGTGACTCTAGATTATGATAGCTTAGGCCACATTAAATCTATCGGCTTTTCTTGCTATAACAGATTAACATGGCTACTCCTCCACAAGTTATTAAAACAATGGCTCAATGTACTTCAGTGGTTTTTGTTTATTGGAGCAGGGGGCATTTCTGAGTGAGAAAAGCTTTACAGACTTTCCTTCCTGAATATTGTATATGACCTATTGCAATTATTGTCATTCCCCCCCCCCAAAAAAAAACAGTGGATGTTGTACTAGGTATTGTAGAATAAAAAATAATACAATTGATCACCACAATACATAAAAGCAGCAGCTTTCTGAGATTTTATTCTGAAAGGCAGAATTATTATTTTTTAAGGAGGACGAATAATTAAATAGATAAAAAATGCATCTGAGATGGGAAGCTGTAATCTCTCTAGAGCATTTATTATTTACAAAGTCATTTACTGCATCCCCAGTAGATTGCAGTGACCTGGAGGACTTAGATGAGAGAAGGTGGTCTGTTAATAAATTAACCTGTTAATCAGATAACCTGGTTCTGAGGTGTCTGGAGCAGGGTAGCCAGCATACAAGTAAAACAGGGATGGCCACAAAATTCACCAGAAGCTGTGCATGTAGTGTTGTGGACCCTATTTTAAGGAATTCCCAGTTTAATTCAGACAGGCCCTCTCCCCTCCTAAACTTCTGACACCTACTGAATACTTTTTTATTCCAGCAGATATTTTAATTGATGCTTGATTTTGTTAAAAGTTTTGACTGTTTTCTTTATTGTACCTTTGTAAACTGCTTAGAGACTGTTGTAGCTAAGTAGTATATAAACTGTTTGAATAAAAAAAAAAATAAGATGCTGCTGAAATCCAATCAGCCCCAGTCAGCATTGGCCAATGGCCAAGGATTATGGGAAGTTGTAGTCTAACAACATCGGGATAGCACCCCTGGTGTAGGCCTTAAGGTTCCCATTTATGAAATGGAACAGTCCTCAGACTACATTTCCCCCATCCCTTTTCATGGAGAGTTGCCGTTCCACTGACAATCTTGCTTGTGTGTGCAGGTGTGTCCCACTGAAGACCTGTGGTCCTCTTTCCTGGTTTTGCACTTTCTTTTTCTTTCAGAACTCCACAGGTGAAGTGTGATGCTGCAATTAGCAAATCTTCATAATTGTTTCACACACCCATGTCAGGTAAAGAGCCAGGGCTTTTTTTTATATTAAATCCCAGCCTGTCTTATTATATCTTTGGGAACATCTTTTCTTGGCATTGCTGCCTTACTTTTCTCTCAGGTCTGGTTAATTAATCTACTACGCTTAAGAAGAGTGAGACTTCTCAGCTGACGTGTTTGGGAACGTTTTTGTGTTCCTGCAGCACTGACAATTGATTTTGCTTTATGCTTGCTTCCAGTCTCCCATTTTTCATTTCACTAAATTGCTGCCCTGCTGCTTCTTGCCGGGTCTGTTGATGACGAGTTGCGTTACAAGTGTCTTTCTCTGGCCTGAGATGTATCATTTGATATTACTTATTTATGACCTTGTTTGGCCCTTCTCTGAATAAGATATATGTCACCTTGGGACTCCAAGGTGCAAAGAGGCGAGGCGAGACATGGCCCAAAAGTTATGAATTCAGGTGAGATCTCCTGATGGTGTCAGAAAACAAGTCAGTGAGAATAATACTGAGCTAGATCAAAGCTCTCACTTGGTATATGGGCAGCTTCACGTATTCTCATCAGTTAGAAATGCCCATGTGCCTTATTTGCCCTTTCCCCTGAGTTCTAGAAATTCTCAGCATCACAGTCAGGCAAAAGATTTCCTAATCATAGATTCTACAACAAAGTAAGAAGAATATTGCCTTATTTTTGTTGGTTTTCATCCCCTTAAGCTGTACTTTGGTATCGGTGCTGCTAAATGTTATATATTTAGATATATGGACTGCTCTAAATCAAGGAATTGGAATTTGGGACTTTAGAAGAAAGCACTTTAGTGAGCAATGATTGCATTAAGGAAGTTGCACACAGCAGTCAGCAAAGTTGTGAGGCTGCAGTGCTAGGCACATTGGATGGTGAGCTGTTGTGCCACTGAACTCAGGTGGACTTGCTTGCAAATCAATGTGCAGAGGATCAGGCTGCCTGTTCCAGTATTCTGTGGTCTGCGAGTGCAGGATTCCAAAAGGCATAATGGCAGAGAAATTCTGGAAATGATGATGACTTTCTTTTTGGTATGCAGCACTTTCAAAAATGTGCTCCTGGCATGAGCATGGATTCCAAAGTCTTTGGTCCATGGAACGTTGGGAAGGGACCAATAAATTCACTCCATGTTTTCCAGAATGCAAGAGCTTTAAAATGCTTCTGAATTCATAGAATCATAGAATCATAGAATCATAGAATCATAGAGTTGGAAGAGACCACAAGGGCCATCGAGTCCAACCCCCTGCCAAGCAGGAAACACCATCAGAGCACTCCTGACATATGGTTGTCAAGCCTCTGCTTAAAGACCTCCAAAGAAGGAGACTCCACCACACTCCTTGGCAGCAAATTCCACTGTCAAACAGCTCTTACTGTCAGGAAGTTCTTCCTAATGTTTAGGTGGAATCTTCTTTCTTGTAGTTTGGATCCATTGCTCCGTGTCCGCTTCTCTGGAGCAGCAGAAAACAACCTTTCTCCCTCCTCTATGTGACATCCTTTTATATATTTGAACATGGCTATCATATCACCCCTTAACCTCCTCTTCTCCAGGCTAAACATGCCCAGCTCCCTTAGCCGTTCCTCATAAGGCATCGTTTCCAGGCCTTTGACCATTTTGGTTGCCCTCCTCTGGACACATTCCAGTTTGTCAGTGTCCTTCTTGAACTGTGGTGCCCAGAACTGGACACAGTACTCCAGGTGAGGTCTGACCAGAGCAGAATACAGTGGCACTATTACTTCCCTTGATCTAGATGCTATAC